ACCCCCCCCCCAAACCACTCACCCTCCTTCCAACACCAAACTCTTTAGTCCCCCGTCCCCCACCAACCGTCCTCCCAACCCCTTCATCCTCACCTTCACATGCCATAGAGTAGTAGTAGTAGTAGTAGTAGTAGTAGTAGTAGTAGTAGTAGTAGTAGTAGTAGTAGTAGTAGTAGTAGTAGTAGTAGTAGTAGTAGTAGTAGTAGTAGTAGTAGTAGCAGCAGCAGCAGCAGTAGTAGTGATAGTAATAATAATAATAATAGTAGTAGTAGTAGCAGTAGTTGTAGCAGTTGTATAGTAGTACACTGTAGTAGCAGCACCAGCAGCAGCAGCAGCAGAAGCTGAAGGAGGAGGAGGAAAAGAGAAGGAGGAAAAGAGAAGGAGGAGGGAAAGGAGGCAGAAAAGTAGGAGAGGAGGAGTATCTTCAATGTACATGTATTCTTCAAACGTTCAGTAGAGTGAGATATCTACATACAGCGTCGCTGAGTCTCCGCTGGAAATTGGTGGCCGGACCCTGATAGCCCTGGCGTATCCGGCGTGGGATGGCCATCTCGTAGTGCTGTTTGAGCAAATAGCGAGGCTCTGACCCATCCTGATCACGGGGAAAAAGAAAAGCAGATAATGGAGAGAAAGGCAGAGCGGGAAAAATGGTTCATTAATCAAAAATTCACATTATAATGTCATAAAGCAGAGGAGCATCTGTAAAAGAATTTACAATGTCATATTACTGGGTGGGGAGCATTGCGATAAAAAAAATGAACGTTTACCTATAAGCTTAAGCTTTTTAGGAAGATGTTGATAGTGTACTTTACGACGTTTTCCGTGACAAGTGTAAATACTGTGGTAATGTTTTGCCCTTATTCTTTCACACAAACCCCATTTCTCTATCGTCTCTCTCTCTCAATCTCTCTCTTTCTGCCCCTCCTCTCTTTCTCTCTCTCTCTCTCTCTCTCTCTCTCTCTCTCTCTCTCTCTCTCTCTCTCTCTCTCTCTCTCTCTTTCATCTCTCACTCTCACCCCTCTCCCTTGATTACCCCTTGTCTCCTCCTTTTCTTTCTTAGTTTCTATAATACATGTCATTTTGTATATAGCGTGTGTGTGTGTGTGTGTGTGTGTGCGTGCGTGCGTGCGTGCGTGCGTGTGTGTGTGTGTGTGTGTGTGTGTGTGTGTGTGTGTGTGTGTGTGTGGTGTGTTTGTGTGAAATAAAAAGAAAGCGGATTTATACATCTATACATGCATACGTACCACACACACACATACACACACACATACACACACACAAACACACACACACACTTACAACTTACAGACACACACAAACGCACACACATACACACGCACATAATATACTCTCTCTAACTCACGGACAAAACACCTGTGTTTTCTATCTGTACAAGTGTGTACACAACCTTTGGCGCGTTGGTCTTGTCGTGGAGGTCCAGCACCGGACGATGAAGCTCTCTGTCCAGGTCCACGGACGGCTTTGACCTCAGCTCGATCTCTGGTCCTACAATTGACCGGCCTAGGATGTCCAGCTGGTCGGAGAAGTCTTCGAAAACCACTGCAAGGTTCACAGCCTCTATCAAAGGGACACTGATAGGGCGAATGTAGTTTTTTTAATGGTATTAAAATATTATTGATAAGTGTTGTTTTACACCTACATAAAACAGGATACAATCATCCATCATCATCATCATCATCATCATCATTATCATTGTATAAAGAAGGTATTAAAACAGTTAAGACCTTGTTGTATTTCCAAAAAAATATTTTTTTCACAGTTCAACGTTTCGCCAATAAGGCTTCATCAGGAACATAGTATTTGAGAAAAAAATAAATGAGTGATGACGCCACAGCAACAAAGTGTTCACTATAAGTTACGTATTGGTGTGATTTGGACAATATCGGAAATAGCTTCATCATCATCATCATATACACAGGCTATAAAAACTAAAGTGCGTACATACATGTCTGAATATTTAAAGGAGCGGTGAGTACAAATCGCCGGAGAGAAGGGAACACTAAGCCAGAAGTGGTAGAGAGAGAGAGAGAGAGAGAGAGAGAGAGAGAGAGAGAGAGAGAGAGAGAGAGAGAGAGAGAGAGAGAGAGAGAGAGAGAGAGAGAGAGAGAGAGAGGGGGGGGGGGTGGAAAGGTGCGTGGAAGTAAGGAATATAATAACAGAAGGGTGCGGTGAACACAAATCGGAAAGGCCAGAGAAAGAGAAACACTAGGGCCAGAGGTGGCAGAGAGAGAGGGAAAGGAAAAGAGGGAGAGAGAGAGAGAGAGAGAGAGAGAGAGAGAGAGAGAGAGGGGGGAGAGAGATATAGAGCGATATATATATAGAGAGAGGGGGGGGGGGAGGTTTCTCCTTGAAGGGGGAAAGGGAAATAACAACGGAAGGGGGCGGGGAACGCAATCTAGGACACCTAAAGGGCTGAAGAGGGGAAACCACAAAGCAAAAATGGGTATTAGACCTAGCTCTTAGTGTGGAGAGAGTTTGACCTACATATTGAGCTGAACAGACTTTACAGAGATATGATGTAGATTACATTTTTGGTTTCACAAGTGATGCTGTGGGAAAGTTTTCTTTTAAAGTGGGGGCCTTCTACAGAGTATGAATACTTTCATGTAGCCACATGTGTTGCATCTAGGATCTTTGACAGGGATGATTTTGAGGCGGGGAACAT